TTAAAAAAGTGAATGTATCATTTGGTTGATCTTTTGTAGCTTCTCTCGGAATTTTGTTTGCCTTGTGTTTTGGCAGTTTCTCCGCAATTCAATTTGACTCGGTAGCTTTGGGTGCTTGATAAACAAGAAAAGCCTTAGGAAAGAATCTAGTTTAACGGCAGGAAACGTTAATTTATGCTTCAAGTAAATTTTAACTTTTACTATCACAAAGGGTTCTGACATATATTTTGTTATTACATATTCTTAAATATTTTATCATTATCAATTTTTACAATTTTACATAGTAGATTTCATTACCCTTTTACAAAGCTTATACATAACTATATGATCGAGAAGATTTTGAATTTTTCTAAGATAAATTCTACTTTTCCTCATTGTTAACATAATTACCAATTCTAAAACTATTGATTATTGAAGTCAAACCAGGAAAATGATGTTTCCCGGATAATATATTGGCGGGAAAAAATTATAAGACCAAAGCACACAAAGGACCAAGAAATATACATACACAGTTCAAAAACTGCTAAATCTAGAAGAAAATTTATAAGGGATTTTTCTTCTCATAAGCCCTACTTTCCCAAAGTCCAATTTTCAAATGTATTCAAAATATTTCACTGATCTTACTTTCACAATTTTATGCCATAAAGTCAACGAATCTCAAAATGGTAATCATACTGTAAATTGTATAATGAATTGACCGAACATTGAAAACCCTATGATACCGTTTGTTGTTTTATTTTAACCTTAAGCACTCAAAACACAAAATGTTTACAAAGTTTTTGTCTAAAGTTGAAGAGAGAGAGGGGGACATCCAAGTGGTTATCGACAGCAGAATTATTACGCATCCCAAAAGGACAATGTAAGAAAAAGTAAGAACAAACTTCTATGTTCTCTTTTTTGACAAAGTCGTCGGAACAAAAGTTGTAGAACTTCAAATTTGTGAAACGTTACGGTTCAAAATTTATGCATTCTTGAAAATCGGGAGAGAGAGTGAACGGTTTTTTACGAGCACGCAAAAAGAAACCGCTGCCCAATCGGAAATTTTCGTAAAAAGTGCAAAAATTAACATGTTCCAGAATTTTTGAATTTACTGATGAATGACTGAAAAAAAAGGAAAACATTTTAAAAAGCCATCTTGTCCTGCTTAAAATTTTCTAAAAAATCGTAACTAGCGCAGGCCGGTGATTTGCAAGGCTGAGAAAAACTTGGCCATTTTTTCGTGCAAATACGGACGGCTTTTTGACGGGCAATCCTTATTTCATACATACCTCACCTATGGTTAAAATTTGACGTTTTCGATGATAAATTTGACCCCTCCTTTCCTTATTAATTATCAGAACTGAAACTATTATTAGTCATTGATTTTTTTTTTTTTTTTTTTTTTTTTTTTTTTTTTTTTTTTTTTTTTTTTTTTTTTTTTAACGAGAGTTCGCAACAGCAGAGGTCATATCGACGTTTTTCTTCTGTGTAATTGTGCTATTACAGCCACATTGGGCACTCTCGACACGACACGACACAGAAGACAAACACTTTGAGCCCTGAAGATGATCTCAATAAAGATCGAAACGTTGGCACGATAAAGAGAATGTTTTTCTGAAACCTACATCACACCAGACCGCATCTCCGATTTCTAAATAAATATGGTAAAGATATGAGCTTTTCTAGGATAAATTCCACTTTCCTTCTTCCTTGTTAAAATGTGTTTGAATTGAAACAGGTAGAAATAAATTTCCAGGCCAAGAAAAGGTAAAACTGAACATTTTTCCACTCTTATGGACAAGGCATAAATCATAAATTGCAACGTAATAAATACAAATACTGATATCACAAATCCATAATTTTATTAACGATGTAGAAATATTTGCTGTGGGATGAGTTTGGAATATGTAAGGATTAAAGCCCTGATATTTTTTTTAGATTTAATTGTATTTAAATTCACCCTGTAATCGGCCTGACAAGTAACGTTAATGGTTTTCAGTTTTTAAAACAAAAAAATCACTCTTGATGGCTTGCTTTATTATCTTTTACATTACAATTTTTATGACTCCATCCCAATTTAATATGTACAACGATATTTAGAAGTTCTGTTTGCGTACGCACGTTAAATTTAATGGGATGTAAAACGACAAAATATAAAAAGCTCGTTTTATATTCAGAATGGGAGCTTATAAAAAATTCATCGGCTTAGTTCGAAGCGGCCCTCTTAGAGCGCAGGGCTTCCCGGTTGGCTTCTTGGTGCTCTCTGCTGTTCAACAGATGGCATGTGAGTCTCGCATTCATTGAACTGTCCCGCACACGCGGAAGTTCAACAGTTTATTTACAAATAGCTGACTGTCACATAAACGCATACAGACCGCTGATAGGTGCAGAGAGATCATGTTACAGTAGAACAATTCTGTTGTAGGTTATTGGCCAACATACACGCCCTGACCACCTTCAGGTCGCACGTTTTCCGTGGGTTCCAATAAATCCAATAAATTAATTCTGTTATTTCGAACAATTCACCTTAAACGGCAAGACAGATCGTGAGAGAAAAACGAAATAATAGTTGGCTTGGCAGAGATATAGAAAGATAGGCGCATTAATTTGTATGCAGGGTGGCTACTTCCTAGTGTCTTTCCCCTTTCCAATAATTAAGTTAATTATTTTATTTTTCAGTGTTAACCAGCGTATTCGTTTGCATTTTCCCCAATTTCATTCTATTTTACGAAAAATGGCTAAGTGTATTTAAAAATACCTTTAAACAAAAGTAAAATATACCCTGAATATATAATTTATGGTAAAGAGAAAAAGGGATAGTTTTGTTAAATGTTTGTGCGATGATATACATTGCGATAAAGAGAGAGAGGGAGAAGGAAAGACACAAAGAGCCAAACAAAGAGAGAGAGAAAAACAGAGGGAGAGGGAAAGCGAAGGAGAAAGACAGAGGGAGTGAGAGGGAAAGGGAAAGGGAAAGATACAGAAGGCAGAGAATGAGAGAGAGATCGACTGATTTCCGTTTTATTTGGTCTCCAGAACCACTCTTACATCTAAGTGAAATACAATTAGATTTCAATGACTACTTAAACCGAACAAAACAATTTCTTTCGCATACATCATTATTAAATAAAAACCGTGTATCTAATATTAACTTGACAATAATAAATAAATAAATAAATAAAAAAGTTAATTTTTCCTTACTTCTAGAATTATTTGCAAACAAATTTAAAAGTGTTAGTTTAGCAAGTCCAGATATCAAACACGTCTAACAAAAGAGAGAGAGAGAGAGAGAGAGAGAGAGAGAGAGAGAGAGAGAGAGAGAGAGAGAGAGAGAGAGAGAGAGAGAGAGAGAGAGAGCGAGTGAGAGAGTGGGTGAGTGAGGGAGAGAGATAGAGTGAGGGAGAAACATATAGACAGAGAATGAGTGAGAGAAGAAAGAGGGGTAAGAGAGAGGGAGAGAGAGAGTCATACAGACAGAGAATGAGTGAGAGAAGAAAGAGGAATAAGGGGAGGGGTGTGAGAGAGAGAGAGAGAGAGAGAGAGAGAGAGAGAGAGGGTGAGTGAGAGAGAGATAGAGAGAGGGAGAAACATATAGACAGAGAATGAGTGAGAGAAGAATGAGGGGTAAGAGAGAGGGAGAGAGAATGTGCTGCTGTTATAACTAAGTATATAGTGGCAAATATACCGGAAATGATAATGTGCCTGCAAGAAATGCAAATACAGATAGTGAGAGATGATGAAATAAAGAAAAAGAAAAAATTCAGATTATGTACAACTAATGGAAAGAGACTCCTACAACGAGTGGGTGAGTGAGGAGGTAGAGAAAGGGAATGAGAGGGAGTAACAAGAAAGTAAGGGTGAGGGAGTGAAAAGAGAAGAGATGAGAGACGTAAAGAGAGGGAAGTAGAAAGGTACAGCTATCTAGACAGAAACAGGTAAAGAGAGTGACATTAACAAAAACTGACATATATACACATATTACAATAAAAAGTTAGAGAGAGGAGAGTATGATAAAGAGAATGATTTTTTTTACGAGGGTTCGCAACTGCAGAGGTCATATAAACCCGAATGCCGGGCCGCTGGATTCGAACTCGGGACCTTTACCTTAATGTGATGAGCGCCGTGTCAAAGACTAAAGAGAATGATTAAAATCCAACAAAGAGATAATGGATTAGTGAGGAAGGGATGCGAGTAATTGAATAGATTCATACATGAATGTATAAAGAATGAAGTCTATGCTGAAAAAAGAATGAAGCACAGCTTTGTGCGAGATAGAAGAACGATATAATAACCGATACGTTATTAACATTTATGACATAGGGTGAGCATGATAGTTATAAATATATCTGAAGATAAACGTAAAATAGAATATTTAATAAAGTAATACAGATCGATAAAGAACGCAAGATGCAAGAAATAATGTATATGAGAGAGGGGAAAAGCGTAAATTAAAAGAGCATGATTTAAATCGTACGAGTAACACACACACACACACACAAACACACACAAACAAACAAACAAAGAATAAGGAGACATAAGAATGTGAGAAAGAGAAACAGAGGCTACAGAGGAGAGCGATTGTGATGCTAATGATGATGATGACGTGAATTTTTTTCCACTTTTATAACCATTTTAAACAGAAACGTTGTCCACATACAAATAAAGTTAGTTAGATCGTGTAGGTTCGAAACACTGAACCGTGTCGAGCAGAAAGAATTGTATAGTTTGCACAAAAAATTAAGGAAATTTGAGAAATTTTCTTCACATTTACCTAGATTTGGATAACTAAATGTTAATAAATGTACAGGCTCGCAATTGCTTTAAGGTTTTTATTCACTGAGGCTATAAACTGAAAGAAGAGGATATTTTCTAATCAGTACGACAGTCATATCCTCTTACACAACTTTAGATGGTAAACTCTTAGGTCAATCTTCACCCATGAAAAATCATTCAATTACAAGAGTTAATTGATTAATTTAAAAGTCGTATTGTAAAATTCTAAGGTCGAATTTGTTTTTCAGGCCCACGATGTAGGCACCAGCGACGACAGCTGCAGGGAGAAGGAAAAGAGGATAATCAAGAGGGATCCGGAAAGCGAAGACAATAGACTAAGCGATGTGAGTTTAGAACATTATCATATTATACATGAAATTATGTGTTTTTATGTGATTTCGTGCTACTTGACAAAATGGCGCTCAGTCAAATTTTATACCGAATTGATTTTTTTTTTTTTTTTAATTTCATGATGATCAATTGATAATATTTACTTTGTGACATTTCTTTATAATTACTACCTAGGTTAAGAAATAATTATTTTGTCCATATATTTCCGAAAATTTATTATCATCAACTATAAAAATAAGCTCATTGATCGTTTTCATTAATGTCGTTAGAATTTTATTCGACGGCATATCGGCCATTAACGTCGCGGATGAAAATGCGCGTGTAAATCGTTTTTCGTCCGTTTAGTCTCGCTGCATGAGTTTATGGATTACAAGAGGGGGGACAATAAAGCATGGAAAGCGTGTTAGCCGAACAAAAACACCGCATCCCCTCCCGAGTTTTCATGCTACGATCACTGAAAGCCGGTCAAATTATATTTTACCTTAGAACCTGAATTTCCTCGAAATCCTTTTTCCATATAATTACTTTTTATGAGATGAGTGTTCAGTGTGGTGTTTGGCTAGTGGTTCTCGTCGATATGTTGTAGCAACCAACATATCAAATTTATATTTCATAATTTTCGAATATTACGTACATTTTTAAAATAATAAATGGGGAAGAAAATTATTACTGTAGACAAAACAAAATCTTCAATCCTGACCCTATAAACTATTCCAAGAATTTTATCTATATACTACCATGAGATCAGATAGGCCAAGCACCCACAGAAGATGGGGTAAATGCATCTGACCATGAAACACAGTGGGAATACGCAGACGAGGTTTACCTACCATGGACGAGAAAACTGTTGGTAACGGTTCAACAGTGGATAAAATAGAAGGCAAGCAAATAGCCATCTTCTGTTATTGCCATGCTGCACTGAAAAGAAAACAAACTATCTTGTTTTGGCCCAGGGATCATAAGACGGAAGAGTAACAAAGAGGCTGTTGAACAAGCTTGGGGGGGTTTATTTCCTCCTGCATGCCCAGAAACCTTCTGTAAAATGCTAATGTCAGGAAAAAAGATCAGTTTCCATTCAAGTTAACCGCTGATGAAATAACAGGACTTTAACCGACAAAAGATTCTTGGTAAATGATCTCGCCTAAATTTTTTGCTTGTAGTACTGACCCGCTACAGTCGGACAAAGCTCTGAATCATGGCACGTCTTTAACTGGACATTGCGGAAATTGTAATATCGGAAGTGGCAATAAACAGCCTGTGTAAGTTCTGCCAAGAAGAAGAGAAAACCTCTGATACAAATTATACGCAACTGTGAATTTGTACAACTACAACTATATATATAACTGAGGAGAAAGAAGTCTAAAGCTAGATAGTGAATTATACCAACCTTACGAGAATAACAATAGTCCATTTGACCGTCGAAACTAGTTAAGTTGATTGATTCAAGATAAACAGTAGAACCCGAAGGCCAGGTTACTTATGACTCAGCTAGTTTTTCAACTAGATCAGAAAAATTAGCAGTAACCAAGTTAAAAACTAATACCTGGTTGACTACACCTAGGATTGAGTCAGGCAAAAGTCTTGGTCTAAAAAAGATCTTTCCTAAACTTACTACAGACTTACTGCACATAGCTGAACAAAACTCAGGATCATAGAAGAATTGTTAACTGGGCATTTGCGACTCAATAGACTTGGCAATATTAGGAGGTTGTTCTTCGGAAATATGGGAGTATCCTGTACATCATCTACCAACGGATAACGTATACTTCTGTGAATGGCTAATAAAGGAAAAGGTTTCGATTCAGGGGAAGAAAGCTCAATTCTAAAAATATAACCAACGAATAAAACGCCTGAAGCAAGTGAACTATACAATCCCATACGAGAAGGAGACCAATTGCCCCTTCGAGGCTAGGGTAATGGTAATGAGGATACTAGGACGCGGGGTTTGTGCTCCCCAGGCACTGCAGAGCCTTCTGGTTTATTGAACCATCCTAATTCCCTAGTTCAGTGCAATAGACTCAATCCTTCTTCTCAAAAGTATCAGGTCATTGAGTGTCGCTGCAACCATTTCATTCCCTAGGTTTATTCTGTATATTAGGTTAAATCTCCATTGAGCCGTTGCTTCGCATTCGAAGATGGTACAGATGGTTGTTTCCTCCTCCTCATTGGTTAATCTGCAGATGGAATCATCGTTGTAAATGCCCATGTTGTGTACACTTTTTCTCAGATGTGACCGGTTAATAGACCTATCAATCCTCTGAGTCTACCCCTCTCCAATTCCTGCAGTGAGTTTGCAAATCTTGGTGAGGGTTGTTTCATCATAGGTTTACTGTTATCCACTTCTCGTTTAGATTTATTTGGATCCATTCTGCGATGGAGGATTCTATGTTTGTTTTTGTTGTCACAAGTATAGTTTCTGGGCCTATGTAAGTGTTGCAGATCTTCCTGTGACAGTGTGTCTGCGTTTTCGTTACCCAAAATTCCTCTGTGCCCTGGCACCCAAGATATCAGATTGTTGTGTCCCCAAGTTTTGGAGATTTTGGATGCATTCACTGACTAATTTTGATGTGATTTTTTTACATGCTAATGCTTTAATAGCTGCTTGGCTATCAGATGAGGAATTCTTGCCAGTGTAACTTCTTTTAAGAGCTTCTAGGGCTCAAGTGTTGATGGCATGTATTTCTTTATGAAAAACCGAAGTGTACCATGTCTCCACCCTTAAAACATAAAGACCTCATCGCGGCTTCGGTGGCCGTCGGTTTAGGCGTTGACACTTCGCTCATCACTTTGAGGTCAAGGTCCCGGGTTCAAATCCAGCAGCCCTGAATTTGAACCCGACATACTTAAAATGGGCTTTTTTTTTTCATTTTNTTTTTTTTTTTTTTTTTTTTTTTTTTTTTTTTTTTTTTTTTTTTTTTTTTTTTTTTTTTTTTTTTTTTTTTTGAAAAACATCGGCTTCAAAACATTATTTGACGACTGACCCGCTTCAGCAAATTGGGCCCATGCTTGCACATTTCATCAGGTCTCTTGTAAAAAAAAAATGATTGTGCTTCGTGCGGAAAATAGTTCACTATCTAGCTCTAGGCTTCTTCATTACCAAGGCAGGTTAACTGGATTCAACGGAAATTTAAAAATATTGAGCGTGATTCAGGAGCAAGGAAAAGTTTAATCCAACAAATACAATCGAGGAGAAAATTATTTTTGGACTGATCTGCTTCAGCAATTTAATACTCATACCTGGCGGGTCACAACCCTCGAGACAGAGAAAGGCAAAAGACCTGGTCAGAAAACTGTTGGTGGCGTCCATGGCCGTCGGTTTAGGCATTGACACATCGCTCATCACTGTGTGGTAAAGGTCCAGGGTTCGAATCCAGCAGCCCTGCATTTGAACCCCACATACTTACAAACGGGCTTTTTTCGAAAACACCGGCTTCGCTCAATCCGACCAAGGAGAAAAAACCTTATTTGACAACTGACCTGCTTCAGCAAATAGGGTCCTTACTTACACGTATCAGGTCTCTTGTCAAAAAAATATGATTGTGCTCCTATTCGTATGGAAAGATGTTTACTATAATAACTCCAGGCTTTTGCAGTATCAAGGCAGGTTAACAGTGGGCATTGGGTGAGCCTGTCAGAACCCATACGAAGAGGAGTACAATAGTCAAATAGAATTAATCTAATCTTAAGTTTTTGTAAATTATTAGGCGTATAAAATTATTATGTTTTTTGGGAGATTTATAATAATGCCATTTTTTTCTTGTTTTACAGGCGAGCAGCCGGTGTAGCTCCGGTCGTGGATATATCGTAAGTTTTATTTTTAATTCCTATTAAAGAATGTGTTGATGATAACGGGCAGTTTGTCGATATCGATCTGGCAAATTCCCCAGCAGCTTTCACTGTATTCCCAGATTTCATTTCCTTTCGTCTCATTGACAGAAACTCGCAACGTCTGTAAACCCACGGATGACGTGGATCGTCGACCTTTTCATATCGTATTTATAGTCATTTACGCAGATCGATATCGCCCTCAGCTGCCACCTGTTGTTTCATTTGAACTACGTTTGACAAATATTCTGATTTTTCTCTCTCTTTGTTTTTCAGTGTGATAGCGAAGGGGACGACGACAAGGTATGTGACTTAGATTCCAACCGGCCCAGAAGGATTCGGACGTGTAATTTTAGATATGACCCAACACAAAGCTTTGAGGAGACCGCCTCACGCGTCTCGACGCTATTTATATTTACTATTTTTGGAACGTTTGAAGTCCTATTTTTTTAACATTTGGTTTACCGGCCTCGATTTTTCTCCGCCCTCTTCTTGCTAAGAAGACTATATATTACTGTAATCAGTGTTCTTATAAATAAAGACCAAGTCTTTATAAAAAAAAATCTCAAAAGCTCCACAAAACGTCAACCGAACCGGCGCTAGAACATCGATATTAACAAAAACCAAAATTGATGTTGTATTGGACCTTCTTGAGGTCATTTTTTACAGGTGAATAAAGAACATCACTATTGGGTTTCACCAAGCTTTCGGCGAATGTTCCGCCATCATCCGGGCTTAATTTATTAAAAAAACAAAATTTACATGAACAGAGTTACATAACACATCTTACATAAATACATTACAAAAATACAATTACGTACTTAACCCAGTTGTTAGGAAAATTCAATTTATTGCACATGTTTGCTGTTTTTTTGAAGTGAAGGTGAAAATGAATCTATATACCAAAAAAAAAAAAAAAAGTCTTGCTTAAAGTCTAGTGACCCCATGTGAAACGAAACCAAAGGATGACCGATGAGGTCACTAGACTTTAAGCAAGACGGTTTTTTTTTAGTATATAGATTCATTTTCACCTTCACTTCAAAAAAACAACAAACATGTGCAATAAATTGAATTTTCCTAACAACTGGGTTAAGTACGTAATTGTATTTTTGTAATGTATTTATGTAAGATGTGTTATGTAACTCTGTATGGAACATTCGCCGAAAGCTTGGTGAAACCCAATAGTGATGTTCTTTATTCACCTGTAAAATGACCTCAAGAAGATCCAATAAAACATCAGTTTAAACTACGTAGGTCGATCAACGTCTACTAGAAAAACCAAAATTTTCCATAGAAATAGATGATTATGGGATTTAGAAATGAAGTTTTTACAATTTAAAGAAAGCTTACATTCAAAAGTAGGTAAAATAAAAAATAAAATATTTTTAAGTTTTAAGAGTTAGGTTTTTAAGGTTATCTATATTTATGTTTATGGTCAAAGATTTTATATAAAATTCGTACCTTGTTTTCATATTGGGTCTGTATGGTCATCATGTAGTTAAGGCATTCTTTGCTAACAGGATGAAGTATGCAAACTTTAGTCGTTCTGTGTCGATTTTCTATTTTCCTTATTTGCATTTTACCCACGTCTATGAGATAAAAAAGTCAGTTGTACGAGCGGGATTCGAACCCACGACCTTCGGCTTGATACGCCTGAGCTATAGAGGTAGAGTAGCGGCGTATCAAGCCGAAGGTCGTGGGTTCGAATCCCGCTTGTACAACTGACTTTTTTATCTCAACTAAAAACCTTAATTAATTGAATGATATTAATTGGTCAAGCGGGCCACGAAAACTAATGAATTTAATGAGTCATAACGTTTCTGTTTTGGGATTAGTAAAAGAGGTCGATTTTGTTGGTATTGCAGTCAACTGTTTTCAGTTTCTCTGGAGCATTTAAAAAGGCCGTTGGGTTCATACTTACATATATCATGACGGAATTCCCTTTTCATACATCGAACCAAAATGTTTTGGTTAATAATATAATAAATTAATAAATATGCCCAAGACAAAAAGTTGAATTACTAGATTATCCCCCTTCCCACATTTTCACACCCTCATCCAACGTAAAATTTTGGCATTTTGGTTCTATGTAATTAAAGAAAAGGGTATACCGCTAGAAAGCTTATTAAACGTGGAATTTTTTATTTGCCAAGCTCTACCGTGAATTTATCCAAAGAGGTTACAATTTTAGTTTTTTTTTACCTTCTAAAAGGAATCCGTGAGAATTGCCTTACCGAAACCGGGCTAATGCTTCATTCACAAAGGTCATAAGCCGATGTCTCCGGTTCTTCCTGAGAGAGTCGGCTTTTTTCTGCCTTCTTGAGGTAGTAGAAGCCTATAATTTTCTTAAATCTTGCTTACAGAGAGAGAGAGAGTGAGAGAGAGAGTGAGAGAGAGAGAGAGAGAGGAGAGTGTGTGTAATTTCTTCGCCTTCTTTTTTGAGAGATTTATAAATTTTAGCTATAGCTACCCTTATACATGGTGCTTTTGTTCAGTGCTTGGGTTTTTCTTTCTCAAGTCATTTTTTCCAACTTAAGCACATCGGTGCTCCTAGTACTGGTTCCGTGGGTGAGAGAGCCCTCTTTGTTTATTTGATCATTTCCTTCTGTAGCTTCATTTACGGGAACTTTAAGGTAATCTGTATTTTCCTATAGCCGTTAGGCTTAGGCATTACCAGACAAGTTTGGAATTGAAAGCATAAGCCTTTATAGCTGCCTGGATGTCTGAGAGTGTTTATATCTATGCACCTTTCATATTTTACTTTATTTTCTCCTGGTATTGCAAGGACCTCAGGTTGGAAAATTGTTGGATATAGTTCGCCTCTTTTAACCCTACACCTCCCTCATCGTTCTGTGTACCATATAAGGTCCCCTTTCTGAAACTTGCTCCACGTTTCTTCCAAAGGTCTCTATTAATTATTTTCATTTATTTGTTTTATATTTCTTGGGCAAAATAAAGTTTATGGCATTGGAGGAATGGGTGTTTGATGGGGGGATGCTTTGAGCTGACATCCCCATACAACAATTTTAAAATGCAAACATTCTTCTTGGACAGGTGTTCTCTTATCCAAAATTGAACCGTTTGCTGGTTTAGATCAGAGGAGGGCAGAATCACATTCAGACGATCATTCAATTTCTTCCATGATTTCTTTACACCTATTCCATTATTGTTTAAACACCTTTAACTTTTCATTTAAAGGGGTGTTTTTGTTTAAAGGGTTAGCTCATTATGCCTAGTTCTTTTTTCAATCCCGTTGTAATTAGAATACGCCAGAACAAAATAATTACTACTCCCTCGGGAACGTGTTAACAAAGCGACTTTTTTACCTCTCCAGGGATTAATAATTATTTATATACACGTTTGTCTTTCATTTTATCAATTAATAATTTATAACTTACAAAAAAGTTCATTGTGCTTAAATGCCGCAGAGAGTTGTAATTCCTGTTTGGTTTCTTCTGTTTTACACACTAACAAGAGAATTGTTCAAAAGATCTTATAACTTGATCTCAAGTTCAGTCGCGTCGAAATGCTTGAAATTTGGAAGCCCTGGAAGAACTGGCTAAAGTATATTCTTTTTTTGTTATTGTTTTAATTATCCTTGACTTTTTTATTATACATAATTGTAGTTCACATTTCGACTGATACTAACATCCAGAATAAAAATTCAATTTATATATCCGAAATAACTGCTGAAAATATTTAAAAAAAAATTATTTTAATTAAAAAAATTAAAATTAACAAAGTTATCGACATTCGTTTAACGAAAAACGTGATGTTTACATCAAAGAAGTTTGTTCTTCACCTGACCCGGATTTTATACTTATTATTTTGATTTTTTTCTAAATACGTGTTTCATTATTTTTCTTCTAAGTAAATATGTTGTGTAATGGAATAAGATATCATATTTGGTTGTCGACATTTTGGTAAAATTTGATTCCTTCTGGTCCGCACACTTTCGTTCTTGGTAACTTTGCAGTTTTGCATTGGCCAAAAAGATTGAGAAGTGTTCAATACAATTGATTTTCAAATTCACCAATTTCGTGGTTCGCTTGACCAATTAATATATTATAATTAATTAAGGTTTTTAGTTGAGGTTTCGAATCCCGCTCGTGCCATTGACTTTTTTATCTCAAATAAAAAGCTTAATTAATTATAATATATTAATTGTTCAAGCGGACCACGAAATTAGTGAATTTAATTATTGAAAATGAAGTATACTTCACTAAAGCTCTCCGTGGACATTTCATTTGTCGCCGAGAATCCAATCCGATTACACGACATTTGAAAAATGGCAAAAAAGAGGGGAAATTCAAAAGGTGGGGTTGAGATGGGAAGTTAGTGTCCGAGTGGATCGAGGTCACGATAGCTCAAGTAGCGGCGTATCAAGCCGAAGATCGTGGGTTCGAATCCCGCTGGTGCCATTGACTTTTTTATCTCAACTAAAAACCTTAATTAATTACAATTGATTTTTTTTTTATTATTTGCGGGCCAATTGTGATCCATATTGAACAAACTGCAGTTGTGTTTATTGCAGAAATGGCATATTTTCTTGGTAGATTTAACATTTATTTTTGTGAGGGCTTTTATTGTAGTTAAAGAAAATCTTTCGTACATCTAGATGAAAATATTGGGTAATGGAATAAGATATATTTTGTTGTCGACAGTTTGACAAAATTTGTTTCCTTCTGGTCCGCACAGTTTCGTTCTTGGTACCTTTGTAGTTTTGCATTGGCCAAAAGATTGGACGTGATCGATACAATTGATTTTTATTACTTGCGGTCCAGGTGCGATCAATTTCGAACAAATTGCTGTTGTGATCAGGGTTTGTTGCAGCTCTGGCATATTTTCTTGGTAGAATTAACATTTATTTTTGTGAGGGCTTTTATTTTAGTTAAAGAAAATATTTCGTACATCTAACTGAAAATATTGTGTAATATAATTAGAGTTAATTTTGTTGCCGACAGTTTGGTAAAATTTGATTCCTTCTGGTCCGGACAGTTTCGTTTTTGGTACCTTTGTGGTTTTGCATTGGCCAAAAGATTGGACGTGATCGATACAATTGATTTTTTATTACTTGCGGGCCAGGTGCGATCAATTTCGAACAAATTGCTGTTGTGATCAGGGTTTGTTGCAGATCTGGCATATTTTCTTGGTAGATTTAACATTTATTTTTGTGAGGGTTTTTATTGAAGTTAAATCACATCTTTCGTAAATTCTATATATTTAAAAAAATGATTTTTGTGAATTGTGATTGTTTCAAAAACTCTTCTGACTTCCTTTATCGAGTTTTTTTACAGTCATTT